TAGATTTCCAGGAGTGTCTTGTTTTTAACAAAAAAGTTTTTAACCTTAAAAGGCTTAAAAGTGTTAATTTTCTTTTTTCCTTTCCTTCCCCCACTCTCTCATACAGCTAAATGAAGGTAGGTGTGAATGTGGTAAACAATGAAATGAACGACATTTTACCGAGACATGTAGGCTTATTTCCTGTTTATATCATAAATCATACAACTGTAAACCAATTTCCTTAAAAATTGTCATTGGGATTTTATTTTTAGTCCAATATTTGACTACTGTTATACTTTTTTACAATCAATATTACTCCTGTGACGTGGTTTTATCTTAAATCACCAATTTCTCTGAAAAATGCGTGTACCAAGTAAGGAATATGACAGTTGTTTTTCCATTTGTTCTGTTGGCTGATAAAGTCTAACATTTGATTTTGTCAGTTTTTATGGACTTCCTTGATTTGAATTTACCTTGAAGTTTGATATTTTTGTTATACTTTATTAACTTACATGACTTAGATTATCCTGAATTACAAAAGAACAATTTTGATTTTCATGGATCTTTTTTTTAATGGTATTTGAAAAAAAACTAAATAAAACTGACTAAATGCATGAAGATTTTTTAACACATATATATTTTAAATTGTTCATTGATTTCTGCATGTAATCACATGTTGTAATTTGAATGATGCATTTGAAAAAGAATGTCAATATTCTGCATCATATGTCATTGACTGATTTAAGGATTCTAGTTCTAATGACTTAACACCTACAGATAGAACTTAACGAACTCCCACAGAAGCTCCGTAACAAGGATTGTCTATACATCAATTTTTATCATAGCTCTCAGGTTCTGAAAAATTCAAAGATGATGGCTTTGTCTTGTTTCAGAAATGGACAAAGCTTCCATATTGATTAGCAATGAAGTCAAACTAATGCTTAATACTTTGTCGAGGCTGCATGTTATTTATAAACACTGCTAATATAACAACCAAAGAAGGAGAAAATTGGTAATCTTTATATGCAGTGATGCAACAATCCATTATAAATTAGTAATTTGGATGAAGATTATAGCAACAAAGATCTAAAGCAATGGTAGATTGAACACAGAATCTTTCAATATTACATAATCTGAAGTTTCTTGAAATGAGATCGATGTTTATGGTTTAAGATTTTGTTTAATGCATGGTTTCACATGTTATTGTTAATTTTAAGTTGATATATTATGTAACTGCACTTTAACTGAAGTTTAACCCTATCAAGCAACTAAGTTAGTTGACCTTAAGACAACTTCAGCTGTCTAATGTTCTTATTTATGCTCATGATTTTATGTACATTTGTATTTGTCTTCCTGAACTATACATACTTGAATGGAGGTTATATTCCAGAAACATGTGTAGTGAATGTTGAAATATGTATCATGTGTTTAAATTGAGGGTCTCTTTAGATGAGTAGTCTAGGTAGTTCATCCTTAGAGATAACTAGCCTGTAGCTGCTGAGGATGTGAATCTGAACTAAGCTAATGGTGACTCTTGATCTTAATTGACAAGGATTGCCAATTTTCTTCCTTAAGGTTGGTGGTTCTCTGATGGTACTCTGGCATCTTTTACCAATTGAAAAGAGGCTGTTGAATCTGGTGTTGGAACACCAACAAACAAACAAACATTCAAACAGACAAACATTGCAAAAAAATTGTTATAATGAAATAAGTAAAGAACTTTAACATGTTAAATGAGATTTTGAACAAAATAAAAGTTAGATACATACAGTATCAGGAGTACACACTTGGCTATACTAGAGCTTATGGTATACAGCTAGAACTAAACTTTTCAATAATTAAGTAGCACACTTGTCTATTATCAAAGGAAATTTGAAGACAGGTTGTTGTAAAATTAAAAGAAGTTTGAAAGTGATCATATGATAAGATCAAAGTGTCATGTGTAAAGTCAAATTTTTCAAAAGCAGTGTAGATGCATTATTAAAGAGCAATTTATATAACTGGATTTAATGCGGTAATGTAATGTTTCACCATATATTTTAATCTAGTGATTTCAAAATGAAAGGAATTGAATGTTTCTATGTTTTCAGAGGCTTAAATGCTACAATTCTATCTTGAAACTATATACTTCTTAAAATTCCTCATGTCTGTTTTGGTTGGTATCATTGAATTGGGATGTCTTTTGTGTGTTTCTTTGTTATTGGGTTGATGTCTTATTAACATAATCCATATCTTCTATTAATCATATTGCCATTAAAAATCAAAAGGGCAAAAAGAAGGCACATATATGATGAAATCACATGGAATATTGATTTGGTCTAATTTCTCCTAGTGTTTCTTTAAGATTTTTTAACCACAAGTTTTTTAGGTATTGTTTATTAAGGTAGAAATTGGCTGATCAAGGTTCACTGACTTGAGTCACATACACATTCATTTAGATTATATACATGTAATCTTTCACATCTAAAATAATATTAAAATGCACTAAAGACGTGATGCATAAGGAGTACTTTTGCCAATGATTTCTTCATAACAATAATTGTTTTATTTTCATTTACTGTAATAAGTTTACAAAAAGATTACAAACAAAAGTTGTCTATTTCTTTTATAAATCAGTATGTATGAAAAAATCATCTGGAATTATCATTTTATGTTTCATTTACTGTAATAACAAAAAGAATTATTATTTTAGATAGACATTGATTTAGGCTAACAGGTTGAAAGGTAGTTGTCATTTTGCAGGAATAGAAAGTGTTGATTCAAATTGTAGTGATTGATAGAAACAGAATAGACAGTAGCCAAATTGTTTCTGTAGACATTTAATCAACACTTTACATTATATTTTTTGTTCTGACAAAATTCAAGATTTCAATTTTGTGTGGTAAATGATTGGTTGAAATTATGTGGAAGTCAAACGCACCAATCTGTTAAAATTTTGCTGGAAGAAAATCAAGTTACCAGGATTGAACAAGTTTTGTCAGACATTATTGATAAAGTGTTTTGATTAGTCTTTGTGCTACATCAATCATAATCCAAATATTAAATGTACTTCTATTTTCATTGTTAGATGTCTTAATCTCAGTTATGATTTTAAAAATCTGTTTTATTAAACCCTTGCTTACCGCAGCAAAATATACATTGTGTTAATTGTTTTGAGTTTGTCTATCCATCTTTTCTTTGATAGTCCACACTTTGCATCCTTGACTCTTTTTAACTATTTTTACTGTTTCTTGTGGTTGTATATAGCTTCTCGTGTTGGAGGTTGTGGGTTCCATCCAGGTCAAACCAAAGACTTGAAAATTGGTACTAATGCTACTTCTCTGCTTTGCATGTGGCATTAATGAGTAAGAGCAAAGACAGGTCGGCTTAGAGTCAGAATAATGTCTGGCTAGGCTGACATGTTTTCTTCTGACTGTTAACTTGTGAACTTAAGCTCATTAAATCTTGATCATCATGTCAGTCTAGTACAAAGCAGAGTTCATATTCATTACATTCTTATTCTGATATGACCCCAAAAAACTGTATATTTGAAAATAGATCATTCATTACAGAACATTTCCACCAAGTCGTAATCTTGTAAATGGAAATAAGTTTGTTAAAATGTTATAGAAGTAAAATCTTAAGAAATCAACTGGGAAAAAGAAAACAATATATGATGTAAAAGGTTCCCAGAAAATGAAATAAGAAGCTAATAATGATGAAATTAGTAAATTTTTCATAAATAAGAATTCAGATAAGTGATCTTGACAAAGAACTTTATATTGTCATATGATCATAATTTCTCCATAAGCAGTAATTTCATCATCTCACCACAATGTTGAATTAGAAAAAGTAGGGTACTGCAAAATTTCAAGAATAAAAAAACTTTGTCTGTGTCATTTGGTCTCTTGTGGAGAGTTGTCTCATTGGCAATCACACCACATCTTCTTATTTTTATATTTGTCAAAAATTAGAAAATAAAGAGCCAGTCATAGTGCTAGATTTATACAATAAATTACCCTCCATCCACTTTGAAATTATAAGAGTGGCCTCTCTGGAACGAAGTGAATGAAGGGGAAGGTTAAATCGTATCTACAAATTTCTTCTAGATTGTCAAATAATTAACATATGTTTAGTACTAATGAACAAATAGAGTATTTTTAATTTATAAATAGCAAAAATAATAAGTTCTAATCTAAGGAATATGTTGAAGCAGTCATTAAAGTAAAGAAGTCTCCTTATTTTTCTTATCAATCCCATTCTGAAAAAATCTGCTTAATTACTTAAAGATGAGATTACTTAATTTGTTTAATAAATGCATTTAAACAATTTTAGAACAATTGGATAACTTAATGAATACCTATTACTTAAATTGTCACATGTTGATTCCTGCCAAATCTTTTCCTAATTATATACTCATGAGTTTTTCATTTAATCTTTATGGAAACTGACCCCTTTAATTTTTTAATTGTCATATTTTTCCACTCAATATTAAAAATTTCAAATGCTTAAGTTTTTCATGAGTAGTTGAAATCATAATCAACAGGATATTATTGTGGAATAAGGAAACGTGGTTTGATTGCTAATGATACATGTTACACCCATAGACCAAAGGTCGTGGATGTATGCAACTATATTGTATAGATCACGGTATGGTCTTCAACAATGAGCAAAACCCATACTGTAAAGTAAGCTATGAAAAGCACTGATTAGACTTAAAAATGAAACAATTTTAAAGAGAAAAACCAATGGCCTGGTGTCTTTCTAAATGATTTAATCTTTTTTCATTGGAATATTTTAAAGCAGTTATTTCTGTTTTATTGAAAATTGATATTATTGAATATCAAGAAGTAAATATACTGACAAGATAAACTAATTTTATAATTTATATGTCACAAATTGAGTTATTTTTACGATCATATAATTGTATATTTGTTCTAGTTAGAACATAATATGTCTGTTTAAGAACTATATAGTTACATATATAAGTAGCAACATATTTTCTTAAGATGTTGTTGGGTTTTTTCCAGATTGCGTAACAAGTACAGTGTGGTAATTGGATTTAATGTGAAGTAAACAAGTTATTACGTTGATAGAACTTGGTAAACGATGGTACTACAATCAGACTTTAACGGAGAATCGTAGGTAAACAACTAGTGATGTCATAATTACTGTAAATTGTCCGTAATTGGCTGATCCTGTCAGATCCACATAATATTTATCAAGCAAAATCAATTACGTCATTTAAAATAGGGGTAATAAGAACTTGCTTAGAGAACAAAGCTTAATTGCTTCACAGTTAGCTTAAATCAATTAGATGTTGTTGTAGTCTGAAAACAAGCACATCCGCTTCATTATTGCAATGAGGTCTGCTACTATTTGTTATTGACCTGTTTCATTTGGAAGTAATTGTAACCCTTTGTAATCTGTAAATATGACCTTTTGTTAACATCAGGTAGAAAATTATCGACAAATAGTTCATATTTGCAGATAACCACAATGTAAATAATATTAAGTAAATATTAAGGACTTCAGTTTATGGGTAAAACACATTATCTTGAAGTGCTTTTACATGAAGGCATTGTATCTTCAGGTGGATTACTTGTATAGGCATGTTTTATGGGTTTATAGTCAGAATATTGTATCTTGGAGAAAATAATATTATGAGTATACATGTACAGAATGTTATGTCGCTTTTATCATATTTAAAACAATGTATTTAACCTGAATTGACATACATGTATAATGAATGAGCTACTGTGTCAGAAAATTATTATAATTTCATTTCCTACAAAAAAATTAAAATTGTATGAAGTATCTAATGATGTACAGAAGGTAGGCAACTCTCTAAAACAATAAGGGGAGATAACTTCCAGAATGCAAAAAGATTGCTGAATCTTTTAATTGGAATATATTAAAAAGAAATAAATACAATTTACAATGAAATACCGAGAGAAAGGGTATCTTTATGGAAAAGAAAATCATCATTGAAAAAATAACAGTACAATATCTGCCACTTTATCAAAAATGGCTATGAACTATACAGAGAGACACTTATTTTCCTTTCACTATTGATTATCATATACCAGAGTGAGTGAATGGCTTATAATCACCAAAAATCACTGAAAAAGTAATGCCAAGAGTGATTTTTAACTTAATAGGTAACATGCACATGCAGAATAATAGCATGTTATTGCCATATTATCCTGGTTCCAAGGATTACTTTCCAGGTATTAGCTATTAGCCATACACTCACGTTATATTTGTTTATGTGTAACATACTGAATATTGTGATTGGGAACCAGTCTATTGCCATATAAATATATTCTGCTTTGTATGATACATAAAATTGAGAATGGAAATGGGGAATGTGTCAAAGAGACAACAACCCGACCATAGAGCAGACAACAGCCGAAGACATACATGCTTAGTTGGATTTTAAAAGATCCAGCTGGTAATCCTATACATTGATGTCCTGGTTTTAAGCCAGCATGCATAACCACCAAGACGTTCAAAAGGGACTATACAAGACTGAACCATTTCAAAACAGATAAAATGGTGGGAATTTGATTTATTGTTGGAGGATCTATTGGAAATATTTTTGTCAGAATAGTGGTTTTGATAGCATTTCCTTTGAATTTGATTCCATCACATCGACAGTGTACAAATTTAAGCATTAAACACTTAAAGCTTGAGTTCAGCAAATAGATATAAGAAGATGTGGTATGAGTGCCAATGATACAACTCTCCAGCCAAGTCAAAATTTGTCAAAGTAAACCATTATAGGTCAAAGTACAGCCTTGGCTCACACCGAACAGCAAACTATAAAGGCCCCCAAAAATGACTAGTGTAAAACAATTCAAACAGGAAAACCAACGGTCTAATCTATATAAAAAACGAGAAAATGCCCACTTAAAACTGCAAGCCTCATCAAATACCCTTGAGCAATAGCATTCCTACCCTGCATGCATCAGTTTTATGTTTTGCCCCATAGTAAGGTCATTGAAATATACAATAAAGGTTTTTTTTGTTATGCCTGAAATGGCAACAAGTCAACAATTATTTATTAAAAGAAATTTTTATGGCATTTAAAAATTATATCTCCACTCATAAAGTGGTAATTGGCATACTGCATTCAACATATTTATTTCTCCTTCTCTGTGTTTATTGGTCACTTTTTTCTTCTGAATGAATAGTCTGAGATTGGTCTGAAGTCTTAAGGACTTTTTGCACTCAGATGTCCCACCATCCCAGTAAGTTCTTAAAAGGCGGTAAAACATCAAACTATCTCAGAATACTAAATGCACTGAAATCTTTTGTTGCAGTTTCTGTACTAAATATTTGGTTTGGAGCATGATAATGAGATGTGGTATGATTGCAAATGAGACAACTATCCTCTATAGTCCATATGATGTGGATTTTAAGCAACTATAAGTCACTGTATGGCCTCCAAGAATGAGCAAATCCCATACTGTATAGTAAGCTATAGAAGGCCTCAACATGACAACCAAAGTAGAAAACTAACTGCCTCATTTATGTACAAGTCAATAAATCAATCTATGATAGACAGGAACCAGCAACAACCTCTTTCATGTTTCCACTAACCTGATAGTATAATTGTATATAAAAATTTATTTTTTGGTATCATCACATCTGCAATTAAACAAATTTCTATTATTGTTATATTTTTATTACATTACCCATTGCTGCATAATTTTTGTCGCAGTAAGCTCAACATAGGGATAGTGATCCTGCGACGGCGGCGTTAGCTAACTTCTTTAAAGCTTTATATTTTAGAAGCTAGAAGACCTGGATGCTTCATACTTTGTATATAGATGCCTTATGTTACGAAGTTTCTGTCTGTCATATGTCCATTGTCCTTGGCCTCATTTTCATGGTTCAGTGACTAGTTGAAAAAAAAGTCAACATTTTTTGTAATGTTAATTTCTTTCTTGTTATGAGTAATAGGATAACTATATTTAGTATGTGCGTACCTTGCAAGGTCCTCATGCCCGTCAGACAATTTTCATTTGACCTCGACCTCATTTCATGGATCAGTGAACAAGGTTAAGTTTTCGTAGTCAAGTCCATATATTAGATACTATAAGCAGTAGGTCTACTATATTTGGTATATGGAATGATTGTAAGGCGTACATGTCCAACTGGTAGGTGTCATCTGACCTTGACTTCATTTTCATGGTTTAGTCAAAGTTAAGTTTTTGAGTTTTGGTCTTTTTTAGCTCACCTGACCTGAAAGGTCAAGTGAGCTTTTCTCATCACTTTGCGTCCGTCGTCCGTCGTCCGTAAACTTTTACAAAAATCTTCTCCTCTGAAACTACTGGGCCAAATTTGACCAAACTTGGCCACAATCATCATTGGGGTATCTAGTTTAAAAAATGTGTCCGATGACCCCGTCAACCAACCAAGATGGCCGCCATGGCTAAAAATAGAACATAGGGGTAAAATGTAGATTTTGGCTTATATCTCTGAAACCAAAGCATTTAGAGCAAATCTGACATGGGGTAAAATTGTTTATCAGGTCAAGATCTATCTGCCCTGAAATTTTCAGATGAATCGGACAACCTGTTGTTGGGTTGCTGCCCCTGAATTGGTAATTTTAAGGAAATTTTGCTGTTTTTGGTTATTATCTTGAATATTATTATAGATAGAGATAAACTGTAAACAGCAATAATGTTTAGCAAAGTATGATCTACAAATAAGTCAACTTGACCAAAATGGTCAGTTGATCCCTTAAGGAGTTATTGCCCTTTATAGTCAATTTTTAACCATTTTTCGTAAATTTTTGTAATCTTTTACAAAAATCTTCTCCTCTGAAACTACTAAGACAAATTTAACCAAAATTGTCCACAATCATCATTAGGGTATCTAGTTTAAAAAATGTGTCCGATGACCCTGCCCGCAAACCAAGATGGCCGACATGGCAAAAAAATAATACATAGGGTAAAATGCAGTTTTTGGCTCATATCTCTGAAACCAAAGCATTTAGAGCAAATCTGATGGTATAAAATTGTTCATTAGGTCAAGATCTATCTGCCCTGAAATTTTCAGACCAATCAGGCAACATGTTGTTGGGTTGCTGCCCCTGAATTAGTAATTTTAAGAAAATTTTGCAGCTTTTGGTTATTATCTTGAATATTATTATAGATAGAGATAAACTGTAAACAGCAATAATGTACAGCAAAGTAAGATCTACAAATAAGTCAACATGACCAAAATTGTCAATTGACCCCTTAAGGAGTTATTGCCCTTTATAGTCAATTTTTTACAATTTTCATAAATTTTGTAAATTTTTGTAAATTTTTACAAAATATTTTCCACTGTAACTACTGGGCCAAGTTCATTATAGATAGAGATAATAGTAAGGAGCAAGAATGTTCAGTAAAGTAAGATCTACAAACACATCACCATCACCAAAACACAATTTTGTCATGAATCCATCTGTGTCCATTGTTTAATATGCACATAGACCAAGGTGAGCGACACAGGCTCTTTAGAGCCTCTAGTTTCTAATACTATAGGCAATAGGTCAACTATATTTGGTGTATGGAAATATTTTATGATGTACATGTCAGTCTCGCAGGTTTTATTTGACCTTGACCTCATTTTCACGGTTCATTTCTCAGTGTTAAGTTTTTGTGTTTTGGTCTGTTTTTCTTCAACTATAAGCAATAGATCAACTATATTTGTTGTATGGAAGGATTGTAAGGTGTGTTTGTCTGTCTGGCAGGTATCATCTGACCTTGACCTCATTTTCATTGTTCATTGGTCAATGTTAAGTTTTCATGGTTAAGTTTGTTTCTTAGATACTATAAGCAATAGGTCAACTATATTTAATGCATACATTGATTGTAAGGTGTACATGTCTGTCTGGCATGGTTCATCTGACCTTGACCTCATTTTCATGGTTCATTGGTCAATGTTAAGTTTTCTTGGTTAAGACTGTTTCTTAGAAACTATAAGCAATAGGTCAACTATGTTTGGTTTATTGAATGATTGTAAGGTGTATATGTATTTCTCGTTTGGTTTATCTGACCTTGACCTCATTTTCTTGGATCATATTAAGTTTATGTGTTACTTGTAGTAAAGTTTTATATTTAGGACTATCAACATAAAATCAATGGTAA